TTGATGACAGAGAACTTCTATAGACATTCACAGGCTTCCAGAATTCATCATCAGACACTAAAGCTTTGTAGAATAAAAAAGATGTTTTTTTAAAATTATTATTATAACCAGATGGCAGGAGGCGGGAGACACCTGATAGGGAGGAGAATAAAAACAGGAATATGGAGAAGGAAGGGAAGACTAGAACACAGTCCCCAAGACAATCCAATCCAATGAGTAAATAAGAACATTGGCCCTGGGGTTCCTAATCTCTAACCCTTGGTTTCCTCACCTGAAAAGGGGATGTAATAATAGTACTAATTTCACAGAGTATTTGAGAAACTTAAGTTAGCTAGTATATAGGAAGTTAGCACCTACTTGGTAAGGGATTAATAAGTGTAAACTGTTTATTGCTGTGTTAATTTGGGGGAAATGCCACTCTTGATTTAAAATAGGACTAAAGATGGCTGGAAATTGTTAAACATGCTTTCCTTACCACCTAAAATTTGGGTGCTCAAGGAATTGTTCTTATTTTCATTGTTTATATTGAGTGCTCTTTGAGATACAGGTATCAGAGCCCCGACTTAAAATGAGAATAGGTGACACAGGTTATTTTTTCTTGCCTGTAACTGGGAAGTGAGGGAAGCAAGGGCATCCTGCTGGAGGGCACGGAGGCAGATGGGGACGCCATGAGGAGTCACCCTCCTCTCTCCATCCCTGCTCCCCTCTGCACACATGACCCATTCTTCCCTCTTACACACAGGCTGTTGCATGTGGCAGCAAACTTGGTCATGGGTGCGCCTGGCTTTCCAGCAGCTGAGGAGAGAGAGCTTCCTACCAGAAAGGGGGAGAAATTGGCAGAGGTTCCATCTTGTTGCTAATCGTGGTGCAGTAACGTTGTCAGAGAGTAGGGAAAATGGAAGCCACAGAGGTTGATAGATAGGGTGGAAGAGGGACGGCGAGAGGAGAATGGACAGGCAGAGCTGGGTTCATTTATGAAGGAGCAATGGCTGGTTTACTTATTGAGGAGGAAACATCCTATCTGGAAGGCGTTTAAAGGCTGGTTTGTCACCCTGGACACACGTGGTAAACACTGGGACTTGTTCTGCAGCTAAATGCCGTTTAGTCCAAGGTTTGTTTACTGTCTCTGGACTCTGCCTTCTTCCACTCTGCATTTCAATTCTGTTGACTGGACACTAGATCTACAAGGGATAGTTTTTGAAAGTGAAGAATCACTATTCATTATTTCTAACGACTTCATCTAAGATTTGAAAGGAAAAAGTTCCTTCCAGGTATTACAGTTGGTCCTCCGTATCTATAGGTTCTGCACCCTCAAATTCAACTGACCTCTGATCAAAATTATTTGAAAAAATGCAACAATAAAAACAATACAAATATAAAAAACAGTACAATATAACAACTATTTACATAGCATATATATTACTAGGTATAATTAATCTACAGATGGTTTGAAGTATGAAGGGATGCAAGGTTATATGCAAATTCTACACTGTTTTATATCAGGGATGTGAACACTTGCAGATTTTGGGGTCCACAGGGGTCCTGGAATTAATTCCCTGTGAATACTGAGAGATGACTGGGCATCCATTCTCCATGCTATATATTTTCCTTTTAATTATTGTTGCTGTTTCGGTTTTCCTGAAAAAAATATAACATGTTTTAAACTTCTCTATATTATAAATCTCATTTAAAAAGTGTTGAATCAAGGGAGTCTGCCAGCTACTTTTGTTTTCTCTACTTCTTTCCCCATGTTGGACTGCTTTGACGAAAGTGAATAATATTACCTTACCATGTAGAGTATGGTTAATGGCTTTAAAAGAATTCCCCAGCAACTGAATAATGGGCTGCCAGAAATATTCTTGATGCCAAAGGATCTGGACATGTCTGTTCCATTTATTGTGTGTTTCTTGTTTCATCATGACTTAAGTGTTCACAAAAGACATAAAAATCCAAACCTCTAGGGTATGTGGAGTTTGAGGGCAGAAACCATATTTTAATATATCTAGTCTCATACCTAGCATATTAAGATGGTTAGGAAAATATCAATAGCAAAAAAATGATCAGCTTGTGGTATGTCAGATACTAAAATTATTAATTAAGTTGATTTCTGGTGAATAGAAAGCAAGCATTCTGCCACTGCTGTTGTGCCCGGTTGAGTGGCCTAATGTTTATTCTCAGGAGTACAGTGTCTTGCACCGAAACCTTTTGACTTGTCCTGCCTATTTGAATAAGGTTACATTTCTCAGAAATAGGAAGGTGGGGCTTATTTTTAAATTAAAACTCTCTGTTGGCCGGGCGCGGTGGCACAAGCATGTAATCCCAGCACTTTGGGAGGCCGAGACGGGCAGATCACGAGGTCAGGAGATCGAGACCATCCTGGCCAACACGGTGAAACCCTGTCTCTACTAAAAAATACAACAAACTAGCCGGGTGCGGTGGCGGGCGCCTGTAGTCCCAGCTACTCGGGAGGCTGAGGCAGGATGGCGTGAACCCAGGAGGCGGAGTTTGCAGGTGAGCTGAGATCCGGCCACTGCACTCCAGCCTGGGCGACAGAGCGAGACTCCGTCTCAAAAAAAAAAGAAAAGAAAAGAAAAGAAAACTCTCTGTTAAAAAGCCTGACAATGTGGTAGAGCAAAATCATTTAAATTAAATTCACCTGAATAATAAATTGAACCTATTAAGAAAAAAATTGAACCTACTAAAAATAAAAAGTAGGAATAATACTGAAAATCACTGAGAAAACAATGGAAATGCAGAAAAATGTAAAAGGTGCTTTGTTTCTTCCATGAAGCAAGAGAAGTCAAGACGAGCAGCATCTCAACCTCCTCACCATCCAATGCTTTCCTCACTCTGGGGACCCTCCACACGTGGCCTTTGCTTGGCCATCTGGTTCTCACTTTGGTAGGAGACTCATCTCCCACCCTTAGTCTAGGCAGGCAGTTGCCATTGGCCTTGAACACATTGTGGCTTCCACAGGTTATGTATTCTCTGCCAGTCTCTTAATTGCTAGGATTTCAGGGGCAGAATAATTGTCTGAGAATTACACATCGTACACATGTATCAAAATATCACACCGTTCCCATAAATATGTGCAATTATTATGTGTCAATTAAAAAAGCAGTATTTTTAAAAAGAATTCCTGAGAAAGGGATTCTTAATTGTCTTGCATGTGACTCACAGGACCGAAGACAGTCACACGGGACCCACTCCCCTGGGCCCGGGACCAAGAGAAATTCCTGGACTGGTTAGCTGAAAGTCTGTGTTGTTTTTTTTTCACTCCTACTCAGCAAAACATATTGGAATTCAGCCGGAGGAGAGTGACTTCATCTAAGAATATAAGCCTGAATCTGCTTTATATTGTGTGTGCATATCTAATCCACATCTGAAATTTAGTCCTTTATTATTTATGAAAATTATTTAAAACACTCCATCGTGACCAACTAGTATGAACCCAGGTTCCCTGGCAAAAGCCCATGATCACGCTCTCCTGGGACTAGTTCAGTCCTTAGAGAAGGCCAGAGAATTGGCCCTGGGGCCTCCTACTCCTCTTGAGGAAGCCTAATGTCTAGGAGACACTGAGTGGCCATCCGAAGATGAAGCCTTTGAGGCAGAGTTCTCGAGAAACAAACCTAAGCTCCGTACGAGTTTATTTTGACTTTAGGAAAAGAAGCCAGGTAGCTTTTCAGCTGCCTTTTAGCTGGGAACTCATTGCTGAACCCACCATTTCCTGTTTACAGAAGTAACTCTAACAGAAAGGCAGAAATTGTCAATAACTATCTGCTGTGATTATCAAGCAGCTAGGGCACAACACAATTTATGAATTTAGGGCTCAGTGGGTATTTACCTGCAATAGTTACTGAAATCAAAATATGTTTATTATTGACTAAGCATCAGGAAAATGTAAAAAAAATGCCATGGGTTAGCACAAATCCTTAATTTTGGTAAATGTAGAATTTTTATTAAAACAGTTTTTCCTAAAAATGAGCACTTTTCCTTATATCATGTACTCAGAAAATTATTATATGCCTGTGACATAGGGAAGAATTATTACATAGAAAAATTGTATAACATCTTTTTTATACCCAGCTGTCCTTCTCTTACGGATTTAGATATACTGTTTTTTATTTGTATCAGTTGAAATAGCATTTTTGCATTCTTCTGATTTAACATGTTTAGCTTAAAAAAAAAAAAAAGAAAAGGTGAATTCTGTGCTTCAACACTGGTGAGATAAAGGCATGGTGGGTGATGTGTTGGAACTTCAGAGTGTGCCCTGGCTTTCCAGATTGCTCCACACAATTACAACTTGAATTTTAGAATGTACAGCTGTTTAATTATGTTTAACAGGAGAGTTCCACCATATTTTTCTGAGCAGGACACGCTTAGATTTTTAGAGAACTGTTGGCGTGGCCTAGTGCTTTACCAGAGGGGTTGGTATAGAGAGTTCTGCCACATGCAGATTTTGTTTTGTTTTTTCAAGATGGAGTTTGGCTCTTGTTGCCCAGGCTGGAGTGTAATGGCACGATCTTGACTCACTGCAAACTCTGCCTCCACATTCAAGCGATTCTCCTGCCTCAGTCTCCCGAGTAGCTGGGATTACAGGCACCCACCACCATGCCCGGCTAATTTTTGTATTTTTAGTTGAGACAGGGTTTTGCCATGTTGGCCAGGCTGGTCTCGAACTCCTGACCTCAGGTGATCTGCCTGTCTCGGCCTCCCAAAGTGCTGGGATTACAGACATTAGCCATTGTGGCCAGCCACATTGCAGGTTATATGCACTTAAATCCCTATGTGGACTCAACTTCTGTAAATGCAGACTTTTTACTAAATTTCCTGTACTCTCCAAAGGCCATCTGGGACTGGAGGTGGGGAGTGATGCATTTGAGGAAAAACCGGTCATCCTACCCAGACATAAAACCAAATATCTAGCGTGTGTGGAAAAGCCAGACAAAACTATCTGAGTCCTTGATGTGCACTGATTATCTTTCTCCCTTCCATTACAGGCTCAACATGGGAAAAGACATTCCGGCAGATCGGCTTTGAAAGGTAAGCAAGGGTTAGCATGTCTCCATTTTAGTTACTCTTGTCCCAATTTCTTCTAAGTAATTTATTGATTATAAATCAATAGTCCTGTCACCACCCTTTGGGTAACTGTATGACGTTGATCAAGTCATCATTTTGCCCCTCCAAGCCTCAGTGTCTTTGTAGAGCATTACTTTATAAAGCCTTGCCTGCACACAGAGTGGAAATAAAGATGGAATGGCACAATGGATAGGAAAGCGCCTCTTGAACTGTAAAACAGTGCACAAGGTAAGTTACGGAATTAGAGAATCCCAGGAAATGGTTGACTCTCCCCTAGCTTCATCACCTCATATGTCATAATCTCCTACAGTTTTAGAACAGAAAAGTTTATATTTGTATTGATGTCTTCCCAGTTATTAAAATTGTTAGATCTTTTTAGCCTTAAGTGAAAACTAAGATGATGTTTTTCTTAGCCAAAAGCATCTCTACACCAGCATCTCCCCAAAAGAAATGAAAATAGACTCATTATCACATCAGTCAATGCAGTTTCTTTTCTTTTTCTTTTTCTTTTTTTCTTTTTTTAAATTTTTTTTGAGACAGGATCTTTCTCTGTCGCCCAAATTGGAGTGCACTGGCATGATCTCAGCTCACTGCAACCTCTGCCTCCCGGGTTCAAGTGATTCTCTTGCCTCAGCCTCCCAAGTAGCTGGGATCTCAGGTGCCCACCACCATATCCGGCTAATTTTTGTATTTTTAGTAGAGACAGGGTTTCACTATGTTAGCCAGACTGGTCTTGCACTTCTGACCTCAGGTGATCCGCCCACCTTGGCCTCCCAAAGTGCTGGGATTACAGGCGTGAGCCACTGCACCCAGCTGGTCAATGCAGTTTCTAAACCACCTGCCTTGGAATGAATGGCAGCATTTTGCACAGCTTTCTACCAGTGGCATTTAGCATCTTATCTCAAACTTTCAATGGAAATATAGCTGTTGAAAGAAAAAAGTCATTTTAATTTTATTTTATTCTCACAGTAGATTTTGACTAGTTCTTTTTATGATAGTGAAAATGTGTTTTTCTCTGTATTGATCAAGCTGACAGAGCACTTAAAGCATATAAAGGAAATAATAAAATACTCGAAAATACATTATTTCTCCTGTAGCAATCGAGAATAGCACATCACAAGACCCACTGTGGTAGCACTTTCTTTGCCATTTGTTACTTGATTCAAGGATGATTTATTTCGCTACCTACACATCCAGTCACATCAGCACGATCGCTGTTTACTATCTCAGTAAGTGCTCATAATTCTTAAGGTATTGGGGGAAGTTGATTTGGGATGGTCAGATGCCACAGGCCAACTTAAAAGAAAGAATGGAAAGTCATGCACAGCTTCATTTCCACGTGAAATCTTTTTCCGAAGCATCTTTCCCTTGATCCTTCTTTCATATTATGAAACATCTCAAACATACACAAAAATAGAGATAATAGCAGAAAAAGGTCACCTATCCACTCCCCAGCTCCAATAAGTCTTTGCCACACTTACGTTATTTATTTTGGCTGAAACATTTTAAAGAAGATCTCAGATACCATGTCATTTCATCCCTGCATAGGTCAGCATGCATCTCTGAAACAAATGGCCATTTCTTCCAGAATCCTAGTGCCATCATCATACCTAATACAAATAAGTCGTTAGCATTATTTAATACCCAGTCGATATCTACATTTCCTGGTCATCTCAAACATGTCATTTGTATTGGTGGCACCAGCGTGCTGTGGAAGCCCAGAGGTTCCATCTCATTATCACATCTCTTAGGCTCCTTCATTTAGATCAGTGCCCCCCAAACCCCTCCAGCGTCCCTTCATTTTTCTTCACATCATTGACTTCTGAAGAAACCAGATCAGTTGTCTTACAGAATATTTTACTTTCTGGATTTGTCTGTTTGCAACATTGCTTGTTATTCTAATCCCCTATTTCATGTAAATTCAAATTATTTCACATTCAGCCTTTGGGAACATACATATGTTGACTTCTCGTGCTTTTGACACAGACCCATCACTCTACAGTTTTCGTATTTCCTGCACAGTTAGATGGGCCAAGCTCATCCCCTGTTTCTCAGCCTTTCCTCCCAGCAGCCATAGACAGTGGGTGTAGCAGTATTTCACTAAAATTTTGTTTACAACAACAGGCAGCAGGCAGGATTTGGCTGCTGTCATTTGTTGACCTCCACTGTAGACTTTGGTCATCGCCTGGCAAGTAAACACTCCTGAAGAAATTACATAGGCTACCCGTACAGTCAGCCACGCAGCCACCCGCACAGTTCCAGGTTTGCCTGGTTCCAAAGACTGAGCTTTTAACACCACACCACATGGAATTCTTGCGTATGTTTATTTTTGAGCCTATAGTTTCAGCCATTACTTTTCAATACTTATAGTATGGGTCCATTGAGGGTCTTTGGTGATCATTCTGGTTTTTAGATGTCTTAGCTTGTCATCCTGTGTTTTCCCATGTCATCTCGTGTTTTCTCATTTAAGGGCCGACAGTATCCTGTGCATTGCAACAAGCGCCTTAAAATATAGGACAGATAGTGATCTTTGAGGTTCTTGTATATTTATAGTTGCAAAAACTAAGTGTCAGCAGTACTGTTATATATCGCTTGTCTTTTTTCTTCTCAAGTTTAACCTATTCTGTCTCGTAAAAGGAAATTCCAATTATATCTTAAATACAGCTATCTGGTTCTTTAGAGCAATCGTAAAAGCTATTGATCCTTTCATCACTAAGTCCTTCTTTGAAGTTCATCCATCAACCTGGTTGCCAGCAGATTATTTTAAAGGGATCACATCTAAAGGAAAAGAAGTAACTGAGTCAGCTAAAGCTGCAAAGCTTTTTCTCCAAGAATAAAAAAAGCAAAGACGCTTTCTCTTGTACATTATGTAGCTGAAAGGAAGACCTAGAGGACCTGCGCTGCCTACCCTCCTTGCAGTAACACTAGATGGGATAGTGGTGGACCTCCCCTGAGATGTTATTCAGTCATCTCTCTGGAAGCTGTGTGATTATATGCATTGTCTCATAATAAATACACAGTGTCACAGTTTATGTGGCTGTACTCATGATAATATGTCATTTTCACCTTGCAAACAATCACATTTTCCCTCTGTGGGGCTCTTAGTTTATTGTAGGACTTCATTACATAAGTGTGTTGTAATATAGAAAGAAAATGTTGTAATGTAGGTTGGTGTATATTCTCAGTCACCTCCCACTCCTGGTGCTACATTATTGATATCTACATGACAAAAGCAGACTCAAATTTTTTTTTATTATAGCAAAAAAGAATCTGTGCCTAACATATTTTGGTTTCAATCAGCTCACCTTTCTGTGCAGATTTTCTAAGCTTATGAGTATAAGTATTTCCAAATCACAGTCATTTATTAGTCTAAGATAGGGCGATGCCAGGGGTCCTGGCTTTGTAAATTCACAGACACCCTGCCTGTGCTAATCGTGTAATTAGTAAGGGTGGCTTCGAAACTAACAAGCTTTGGAGCTAAAATGGCCCAAATTCTTGGTGGCTTAATACAACAAATGTTTCTTTCTCGCTCCTGCAAAATCTGATGAGGAGAACAGACGACTGTGGGGCAGCGCACCTCCATGGGGTGTGTCATTGGTAGGCTGCAGTCTCACGGTGCTTTCATCTCAACATGATGCTTGAGACAAATACATCTTCTTCTCTTTTTTTTTTTTTTTGAGACAGAGTCTCCCTCTTGTTGCCCAGACTGGAGTGCAGTGGCGCCATCTCAACTCACTGCAACCTCTGCTTCCCGGGTTCAAGCAATTCTCCTGCCTCAGTCTCTCAAGTAGCTGGGATTATATGCACCCGCCACCACGCCCAGCTAATTTTTGTATTTTTAGTAGAGACAAGGTTTCACCATTTTGGCCAGGCTAGTCTTGAACTCCTGACCTCAGGTGATCCACTTACCTCAGTCTCCCAAATTGCAGGGATTACAGGCGTGAACCATCATGCTTGGACCATCTTTCTTAATTCAATGATTAACCCTTTTCTTATGGTGGCTTTCTGAAATATGGCCTTCTAAGTTCTTTAATTCTTTCAGATAATACACAAATATTTCCGGGAAGTGTAGCAACCTATTCTGAAACTATAAAATTTCAAAGTTTACGTAGGCATCGAAAGAGGGCTTGGACAATTTCATACTGGATTTTAAATGTTTCTTCTGGGAGTGCCATTTGTCGCTACATCTCACAGTACTCAGGCACCACATGCCACGGACTCAGGAAGGCAACCAAAGATGGGATATAAGAAAGTTCTTGGGCCGGGCATGGTAGCTCACGCCTGTAATCCCAGCACTTTGGAAGGCCTAGGCGGGAGGATTGCCTGAGCTCAGGAGTTGGAGAGCAGCCTGGGCAACATGGTGAAACCTCGTGTCCACTAAAATACTAAAAATTAGCCGGGCATGACGGCGTGTGCCTGTAATCCCAACTACTCAGGAGGCCGAGGCAGGAGAATTGCTTGAACCCAGGAGGCAGAGGTTGCAGTGAGCCCAGATCGCGCCACTGCACTCCAGCCTGGGTGACAGAGCAAGCTCTGTCTCAAAAAAAAAAAAAAAAGAAAGAAAAGGAAGTTCTTATAATATCTATCATAGTGATCTCTGAGTGAGTTCTGAACACAGTTTTCTCTATCCAAGGCTGTGCTTTTTGTCTGGAAAAAAATATGTCAGCAAGTAAATAGGTTTGAGTACATTAACTTGCCAGCAGAAATAAAAGTTTTTCTTGCTGGGAGATCAAATTGCTGTCTATTTAAAAATAACAATATTTTACTGATCTCTTGCCCATTTTTAATTAAAAAGCAAAGAAGATATTCTCAGTCAATCTGTGTAATCAGAACATTACTTCAGATTACCTTATGATTAACATTATTGTATGTTATTTTATTTGATGCTTTTTTGTCTCTTAGTATTGTGTTCGAAATTATTTCTTGTTCTTTTGGGAGGACTTTTAATAGAAATCCCTGAATAT